TATGTTCCATTCTCATTCGTTCATCTCTGATATTTCCCTCATATCTCAGAGACAGAGACAACGACTTGTCTCTGGAAATGTGGGAAACCACATAGGGTGCATGGAGCCAACTGTTTCAACTGCAAAACTCCACCACCTTTCTATGAAGGATCATATCCCCTCATCATATGAGTTTTCCCTTTGGCCTCTGTCAGACAAGGTTCATAGCCATTTTAGGTTAAACATTTATGTTCAGTGAGTGCTTACCTATCATATTCGTGAACGCCAAGGTATCGTGAGAGAGTTTCCATTTTCTAGTCAAGATTCTTCTATGAGATTTGTTCTGTTAATTTTCTTTATATACAATGGTCAATATTGTCCTATTATTACAAAGGTATATGTGTAATACCATTAAATCATAAATCCAAAAAAGTAGGTGCATTTACAAAAGTTGGGCTCTTGGTAGAACTGTTGTGACTCTAATTGATTTGATTTTTGAAAATAAACAAAATACAAATTAATTATAGCTTTCTTTGTAACTATATTGCTAATTATGGTCCACTTGGTTTGCAAGAATAAGGGTATGGAATCAGAATCGGAATGGGTTATTCAAATTCCAACTGTTTGGTTGGGCAGAATCAAAATCTCATTCCCATTCTTGCAGGAATGGAATTCCCCCATTTGAGGGAATGGCCATTCCCTGCCCCTCCCTTGGGAATGAAATCCCATTCATGCTGATTTTAATTCTCATTCCCATTCCTGTCTGAACCAAACAGACTATGGCAATTGATCACTCCGATTCCGATTCCGGAGGATTTCAATTCCAATTCTGATTCCGATTATGAACTAAATGGACCACAGTCGGAATCGGAATCAGAACCGGAATCAAAATCTCTTGGAATCGGTATCGGAATGGTCTACTCCCATAGTCTGTTTGATTCAAACAATAATGGGAATGAAAATTAAAATCAACGGGAATGGAATTTCATTCCCAATGGAGGGGCAGGGAATAACCATTCCCTCAAATGGGAGAATGCCATTCCCACAAGAATGGGGTTAGTTTCCCCTATTCATGCGAACCAAACGGGGAAACTATATGAACAAAGCCAACCTTATCTATACTTCTTAAGGGCAAAATTTGTCTCCCATGTATAGATGTTTATCATATACTATGGTGTGAATAAAAGGTTAAATACAAAAAGCAAAATAAAATTATTTTTCCAACTAATAGAATTGCATTTAATATTAGGGGTAATTTTTATCATGTGATTCATATTATAATACTTAATCACAAAGTTCAATGTTCGAAGGTAACACACACAAACATATGATCAAACTTAACAGAAGTGATACAATTGGCTAAAAGACGAATTGATAATCCACTTAGCCAGTAATCCTTCCCTTTATTGTAAGAAAAAAAAAGTAGTGATAATTGATTATTTTCTTTTTTTTTTGTAGTGATGCATCGATATCTATATCGGAATTATTTTGCAAAACAATTGGTTGATTCATTAGATAAGTACAAATCGGAAGTGGAAAGCATGATTCAATGAAGAACTATGTGGCCAATCAAGCCATGTCCAATTAATTCCATTAAGTTTTCTTTGAGGGGATCAAAACTTCTTGATATTTATAAGTCTGTATTATATTGTTTGTCTCGTACATTCATAAAATAAATAAATATATATATATATATATATATATATATATTAATGTTGACATGCTCAATTTTTGGGGCATTAAATTTAAATATTGAATTCAATTGTATACAATTTAATGCATGAACATATTTTGACATAGAAGGTTCGGAAAGGAATAAAAGAAAAAAAAATCGGATGATATATTAAATTATTACGTCATGTGTTTTAACAATATAATTATCTTAGAGACGTAATTATTCATCTTATATATAAATTAATTTGTCATTTTATTATTCACTTCATAACCAAAATATGAATCATGAAAATTCACAATTTGATGGCTTCAAAAAGTTCAAATCATTTATACTAATATTAAAAAAGTTTCAAATGTGAATGGCATATATTCATGTTTTTTTTTCAGAAAACACATTTAGTAGTTTTCATGCCAACCTTAAATAAAAAAACCTCCCACACATTGTAATTTGGTTTGGAGACGTTTGAATTCGAGAGGTATTTAAAAAATATTAAAAAAAACATGGACCGATACCTTTTTAACATTTCCACTAGTTTTAAAAGGTCACATGAACATTCCAAGAAAAAAAAAAAATAAGGTTTATAATAGAAGGTTGATTAAGTATGTGTTTGATATCTTTGCTACTTCTACTATAAACGTTTGGGGTTTATCAATACAAAAATTTTCGAAAATAGGCCATTATATATATAAAAAAATTCCATTTTAGTATTAAGTGCAAGTGCAATTTCTCAAAAATTTGCATTAATAAACCCCAAATGTTTTTGGTAGAAACAAAAATGATAGAAAATACAACATAAGTAAAGAATTTGCAAACTATAAAAGGTGTTAGGATAAAACACAAGCTAGAGGGTAGGTTTTAGAAAGCATGTGAAATTATAAAATAAAGAGGGAAAAACTTGATTGCACTTTTTTTTTTGATAACTTGGGAAGAGGGACTATACAAGATTTTTTTTTTTTTTTGTGGGGGGGGGGGGGGGGGGGGGTATTAAGCCCCCATAAATTCAAACACTTAATAACAACTAAATCTCTCGAATGGTTTTCTACACTTAGAATGAGCACAATTAGCTAGCCAGCCCTCAACTTTGTTAGTTTCTCTAAAGACATGATGATACTCCACCTCTCCATCTATCTTCGTGAGTAATTGCGTGCAATCTTCAATCTTCATAGGTTCCATTTGATTTTTGGTATAATCAATAGCGAACTTGGAATTGCCTTCAATAGTAATCCGCTTGTTGTTGAAGTTGATAGACATTTTGTGGATTTCCCAAGTAGCCCAATCTTCATCTAAAATGGTCATAGTATAACCTATATTATAAGTTTTTAAATCAACAATCTGACATAGGTGATTTTCAGCTATGCACCCAAATCGTACACTTATCATTACACACAAAAAAATGTCTTATTCGTTTGCTTTGAAGTCTGACATTTGAAAGTGTAATAATTACATTAAGAGATATATTGGTATTGTTGAACTTATCTTTTCTCTTAACTCTTAATGCAGACAATGTTGTTATAAATTATGAAAACTATCTAATATCCATTTTAACCTCATATACGAGAGTTTTTGTTTGTCTTTTTTGGGGGTATCATTGGAAAACAAAAAACCGTATAATTGCACTTTAAGAGATAAGAAATAAGAGGAAACGAACAACCAATTATTTCTTAAAAGTTAAAAGATTCCTCTTAAGAGATAAGAGTGAAGAGGAAACGAATAGGCCCTAAGCATCAAAAATTATTTTAATGGCATCTAAACGCATGCTCATCCATTTGACCGAAAATTTCTCTTTGCAAAATCTTGGATTGGAGAATGATTTTATTTTCATAAAGGTGTTTAGTGCTCTATCTGGAATGATGGGAGGAGGTAGGATTCGGTTGTTGCAAAATTTTCCATCTTGAATATCTTAAAGTCCCAAAAAAAACCCATAAACCCAGGCATGGAGCCAGGGGTGATCATTTAAGCCCGGCCCATCTAGCACAAGCCCAGCCCGGAAAATTCGGGCTTGGGCCTGGCCTGGGCCTAGGCCCATATCAGCCCTGCAATTTTTAGGGCCAGGCTTGGACTTAATATTTCAAGCCTGGCCCGGGCCCAACCCAGTCCGCATATATTTAAACTTACACATTTTGTGTGTAATGTATACATGTTATTTTACATTATATTATATATTTTATATATAAATATTACAACATAACATATATAATTTATATTATATAATATATAAAATAAAAGTTTAGATGCATGTTATGTCATTTAATATAAAATATTATAGATATACAATGTTATAAGCCTGGAACCCTAGGCCGAGCCCGGGCCTAAGCTTTAGCCCTTATCATAAGTGCAAAGCCTTCAAAGTTCCCTTTAAATTTATTTAAGTTTCACTTGTATTTTAACCCCTTTACTCGAATTTCTTAAATTTTGGCCCCCCTTTCCATATTTTCTACGTTTTAACCCCTTAATAAAAAATCCTAACTCCACCACCGCATAAACCTAACATAAGACACGTGATGATCAAAACATGAGCATAAAGACCATCATTGAAGAATACTAAGGGAGAAAGGAAAGTTGGAGAGTGAAGTGGACTTTTTTGCATGTGTACATTAAAGGTAACCTGGTAGTTGATAGGTTAGTGAATGCAAGTCACTCTTCCTTGATTTCAAGTCATAGTGTTTTATCTTGGGATTTCCATTATATTTGTCCTTTTTTTTTCCACATTTTGATTATTGGGACGAATTGCCCCCAATTAATGTTGGAGATCACATTTCTTGCAACCACGTAAAAGTGATTTTTGAACACGCCATTGTTCCTAAAGGGTCGTAGGAAACGTAATTTCCAAATCTTTTGTAATCCTTTTCCCGTTAAAAAACTAACAATCACATAAATGAATATATTTTTTATAATATCTTAACATAAATGAATTTTATTTTATTCCTTTATCACAAATACACAATAAAATCCGTTGCATTTTCAAACCAAGTCAAATTCAAAAACAAAAAAAAGAAGAGAATTACAATTTATCAAAATCAAGCAAAAAGTTGTCATAAAATAAGAAGAAAGGACACACCTTGAAAACAAAAATATAGTTCTCTACGGCATACAATAAAAGATCTATCATATTTTATTTATCTTAATTCAATATTTTCATTTTTTTATTCAGTCAGGATCATAATTTATAGACCCAAAGTAAAGTTGGAATAAATATGAAATGGGAATTGATGACAATTTACAAGCGACGCATTGGTGTTTAGAATAAGGTATTTAACATTTTAATTTTTGATGGAATGCAGAAATCGTGTCTGTACTTTTCCGAATAGTATAACTATATATACAGATATATCCTGAGTCCATCTCTTCCTCCCCAAGGCGGGAAACGGGTTATTTGGGGGAAAAGCTGCATCAAAAAAAAAAAAAAAAAATCCGTCTCTCCTTTAAAACCCTACATAAACAGAAAAAAAAAAAAATAAAGAAGAAAGGGAAAGAGCTCAGAGAAAGAGAGGGAAAAACTCAGAGAGAGAGAGAGAGAGAGAGAGAGAGAGGGCTCTGGTCTGCTCTCCTCATCCATCATCCATGGAGGTTCCTCTGCAGAAATTCATGCACGACGAAGAAGAAGAAACCGACACCGGTACTCCGATACGTTACCTTCCCCTCCATCGCGTCTACTCCGCCACTTCTCCCTGCGTCAGCGCCAGTGGATCCTCCAACGTCATGTCCAAGAAGGTGAAAGCTAGAAAACTCATCGAAACCTTGGACGATCCCCCCGATGATCACCCCACCAAGCCGCTGCAGATGCCACCTTCTCTCATTCGAGTCTACACCCGCCGAGCTAAAAGGCCTCGGCATTCCGCCAACAAGCCCTCGTTTTTTGCTGCCTTGGTGAGGCGCGTGGAATCTGAATCGAGAAACCCTAGCAAATTAGAGCAGAACAAGAATGTGGGTGATGATAGGTTAGAGGATAGTACCAATGACGACGATGCTCGAGATTTTGATTCGGGAAGGGATGAGGAAGGTGAATGTGGTGCTGGGCTTGAGTCGGTTAAGGTTAATAGAATTCTTAAAAAGAAAAAGAAGATGCGTAATTATGAGTTGATGAAATTGGGTGTCGATATGAGTGTTTATGGCAGTCTTGATGGCCCTTGGTTGAGAGAAGGTCGTGGTCACGATGAAAACAGCTCTGCTGGTACAAGGAAACGCAAATTTTTAGAGAATGGCCGAAAAGCTGACTTCCAGAAGGTTTCCTCTGCTTCGGTTCAGACAAAGAGATGGATTGAGTAAGTTCTCTCTTAGGACCTGTTTTATAACACTTGTCTAAATAGGGCTGCTTCTTCTGTTGTCATCCAGTTAATCTGATTTTGAGCAAGTATTTGTATCACAGAAAAGAATTCTCATTTACTGTTGTTGCAGGTTGAGTCTTGAAGATGCTGATCCAAGCACATTTGTTGGCTTATCTTGCAAGGTAAACTGCATGTTGATCTTATCATGCATTGCTTATTTTTCCCTTTGTCTTACTAGATGTACGAAAATGTAGAACAAATGCTTCTTCTAGCATGTTGCAAATGTTGTCTTCATCTAAATTAGACAATAGCTCCTAAAAAAAAGATAATGGACAAAATCTTATTTATAAAATGTGAGCTGGTTGGTTACAGGTTTACTGGCCGTTGGATGATGATTGGTATTCTGGCCGCATTGCTGGGTACAGTTCAGAGACTAAGCAGCATCTTGTATGGTTTTCACCTTTAGCATGTAAAGTTTGATTGTTGTACTGTTCTTTCAGTAGATTATGGCAATTGAAATGCTAAATCTGTTTAATTGGTTGCATAGTTGACTTACTTCTGCTTGGTGAAGTATGATTAGCAAAACAGTGCATTGCTGTGTGCTGTGGAAAATGCAGTATGCATTACATCTTTGTTACCCATTTCCTGAAACATGTGCAACAAAAATGCAGGTTAAATATGAAGACGGTGATCAAGAGAATTTGATTCTTTCAGGAGAGAAGATAAAATTTTATGTTTCCCGTGAGGAAATGCAACAAATGAATTTGAGGTACAACACTAAAAATACAGATATCAATGGCCTGGATTATGGTGAGATGGTTGTACTAGCTGCTAGTTTTGATGACTGCCAAGAGCTTGAACCTGGGGATATCATATGGGCAAAACTTACAGGTTTGTTAACTATCTGATCTACTTTACATAATTTGAAGTGGGTATTTGAATATTTTGCATGTTGAGGGCAATTAAAGTTGATAATCAAGATGCTTGGGAATTCCAACCATTGGAACTATTATTGAAGGTTCATGCTTCTTTTTGTTGTTTTGCCATGGATGCTAGCTGTATATGTTTGTTAATTACTGATCAAGCATATAGTGATTGATTATCTATTCTTACTCTTATCATCTCCATTTTTCTGACTTATGAACCTTGTTTGATGAAAGATTGTCAGTACTAATGAATAATGACTGAAAAAGTTATTTCAATATTACTGCTTATTTTGGTTTAAGCCATATCTAATGCAAAAGAAAGGTATGCATGGTTGAATAAAATCTAGGAGAAAGTTCCCCACTCAAAAAGATAATAAGACATAGTAATCAGGATTGAAATGAGGCCTTAGAACATTACTGTTTATGTATTTGTTTGCTACCTGCAGAGACAATTGAATGAGATATTTAAGAATTCCATTTTCTTATTTATACTGTAGTCTGGTTTATCAATATGGTTACATGACAACAACTGATACTATTTTCATCTGTCTTTTGCCTAGAAAAAGTGGGTCTTAGTTACCAATTCAGAAACAAAATCTGGATCGCCAATTTAAGAAGGAACTGGAGGGATCTTGGTTCTCTTTAATAGTGCCACTTATGAATGCCTTGTTGTTGTTGTTGGGTTGTGAAGGGGAGTTCATGTTCATGTGGTTACTACATGAATATGAACTCTTGGTGTTTGCCTAGGTGCTGGTGTTTGCTTTGTGGGTATTGTCATTCATTCTGTTTGGTATTGTCATTACCATCTGCCTACTCTTGGTGTTTGGTATTGTCGTTCATTCTGTTTACTACATGAAAATATGAACTCTTACCATCTGCCTATATGTTGGTGGGTATTGCCATTCATTCTGTTTAATATGAGGGTAGTTCAATAGATATCAGTGAACTTCTACATACCTTTGAAGGCTATATGGTGATGGGTCTCGTTACAGTTGCAAATTGATATATTTCCGGATGGTCCTCCGTTTCATGGAAATCAATGTTGAGGATAACAAGTAGACATATAGATCTCTTTGTGTGCTTGGTGTTTATATCACTGTTATATTAGGTTTTATGATTGATGATTTGCTGACCCAACTTCTCCTGTCCCTTCATCCTATTCTTTAAGGTAGCATTCTTTTATCCACAATTAATCTAATTGAAGCTTATTTCAGCAAGATATGACATGTTTAGAAAGTTGACCTTGAAAAAACCTGAAAAAAGCATGCTATCAAAAGTCCGATACCCTATCTGGCGTATTGGACTGTATCGATATTTGAAACCTTGGAAGTAGCATTCCGATTTCTTTCAAGAGCTGTCACCTCATGGAACTCATCCACTACTTTGGCAAGGTCACCCTTAACTATTGTTTTTTTGAGAAAATTTAACCAGAATTCATTAAGATAAAGAGAGGGAACATGGGAAGATATACAAAGCAGGGGAAGAACCCCTACAAGTTACAAAGGAGGAAGCTTGTTGCTATACAAATGCTCCAAATATACATCAAATTTAGCTAGGCCATCTGCAGTATGATTGTGTTCCCTAGGAATCCAAACTAAGTTAACATTTAAACAGTCCATAGAATCCCAAGCCTCTGTCAGATAATGATTCAATCTCCAGCGACCCCCCTCTTTGTCTCTTAACCATTTAATCGTATTTGCTGAATCACCTGCAATGATCAAATTCTGAATTCCCAACTTTTTTATTATCCTGATTCCGGTGAGAGCAGCCATCATTTCAGCCTTTGTGGAGTCAGCCAAGCCAATTCATCCCTTACTGTACCTCCAATACCAGCTAATCCAGGGTTACCTAAGGCACAACCGTCGAAGTTAAGGGTCATCACTCCTTCACTGATGGGGACGGGGTGCCTCAAGGATGTTTGCTGGGGATGAGGGAGAAACAGAAAGGGGTAAACATCTCTATTAAGATCATTGACTGAAAGTCCTTTGAACAGATCTGAATTCACTGTCCAGAGGCTGCAAAGGTAAGTAGTATCTGAGATTAATTCCTCCAGGGTTCTGCTTTTATTGTCAAAGAAACGATTGTTTCTTTCAAAACAAACACCCCACAACACTGCATGTAGCACTGATTGCCAAAAGACTTTACCCCTTTTACTTAACCCTGTTCCTTGCCATTGATGCAATGTGTCCATAATGTGTTTTGGAAAAGCCCAGCTATAACCTGTCATAAAATACAAACATGAGGAGATATGGAGCGTCTTCCCAAAAGCTTTTTCTGCAGG